TATTGTGTTTTAAATCTCAATATGAAGGATTTCAGTCGCTCTACCAGTATTCCGCAGTACAAAAAGCGTTCCGAACGTATCACGCGTACTTTGAATCGCGAGTCGTTTATCACGATCATAACGAATTTTCTTTCACTGACGCGACTTCGAACACAAAATTAAAAGTTACATTTTTAGGCGGTTTAACTAATGGAGCTAAAAGACATCCCTTCTGAAGATAGTTTCCAATCTACAAGTGAACAAAACCAATCGGTGAGTTTTTGTCTACTATATGTGTCTTTCAGTCTTCAATTTTATGTTCACAAAGATTCATTTTTAAGACCCCGGATTCAGAAGTCTTAAGTAGTAATGAATGGCTTCAGTTTAACTAATTTTGCAGTGATCAAACATAATGAAAAGCTTCGAAGACCGAAGCCAGAGTAACTATAGAAAGTACGGTTTTATTACTAATGCAAATAATGAGCATAAATGCAGCACCTTTATTCTGCCTGAATAAGAAAAAGTGTGAGAAACGTAATTAAGAAGAAGGAATAGTGAAAGCAATGCCCGTCAAGAAGTGATTGTAAAGATGAAATGCCATCAGGGCGTGCTTTCTTAAGTATCAATTCTGACAAACGTAGGAGAGAAGTGCCTCTTTCTAACCATGAACACAGTACTACAAACTTTCCTCAGAGGCTATTCCGCCTTTTAAAAAAGTGGTTGTAGTTTTAAGACGACCCGAAATAGTCAGTTAAATGGCGCCATTTATCAATTTTGTCGATCTTTTTTTTTTCTTTTTGCGTCATGTTCGTCGCAAGACACTGAATAAAATTTGCTTTTTGGTCTTGCATTGACAAGGTTTAAACAGACATTTAAATTTCCATTAAGCGGCCGCGTCCACCTTTTGGTCGTGCCAACGAGCGAAGTTTTTCTTTTGTCGTTACCTCTGTTTAGAGGCCACCAAGCGCTTGATACACTGAGTTTCGCCTTATTTCAAGAATATGGTGAAGAAAAATACAGTTCAGAGATGGAAGGTGACACCGGCGATTGTGGCTCAGTAATGCTGCAGCTCCCTTCACGAGTTTGATTCAAAATAAAGTGATGTTTCAGCAAAGATTATGCTCATGAATGCTAATTTATGACGAACCTCTTCACTGCGACGATCATTTCTTCATCTTCATTTCATTTCCGCAGTTCATATATGATTTATTTCATATATCATTAACACTCATTTCTTTCACGGGAACTTATAAACCCACAATTGACCTGCTCTCAACGTCAGTGGCTTCATAGCTCAGTTGGTAGAGCATTGCACCGGTATCGCGAGGTCACGGGTTCAAACCCCGTTGAAGTCCTGATTTTTTTTTTCAAGCTTCTTTACGAAATTGCATAAATTTCGTTCACTGCGACGATCATCCATTAAGCAGCCGCCACATGCTGGTACCTTGAATGTGGCGGCTTCATTGAGTTTCCACGGTCAGCAGTCCATAACCGCGGATCGAGCAACAAGCAGCTTCAGTCACTGTGCACTCTTTTCACGGCATTTTCACCCATTTTCAGTTTATTTCAAGCACGATTGTGCCGCCAATTTACAACTTCTTCCAAGTACCTCCGTCAGATAAAACCTACAGACCAATTAACGGAGCGGAGCCTTCCATTTTCGCAGGAAAATTGCTCTAAAACGTATCGCAAAACAATATTAAACAGGTCCGTGAAAACGCCGCGCCCGCGCGTGACATGGGTCTGGTATGAATACAATACAATACAATAACTTTATTTAAAGAGGGAAGCGCAATAACCTATTACAGTTTTCTAACCTACGGCCCTCATGAATGGGAGATGCCACGGCTTCGGGTAATGAGGTTCTGATAAAACGTATTCTTTTGACTTAAGGTATTCTCAATTGAATGCCTTAGCAGTCATTCACTGGAAATTACTGCACCAACTTGTCGGATCTGCCAAATATCCGGGAATTCCAGTGATAAGGATGTTGGAGAACTCCTTGTTAGCCCCTGTGAATGCAGGGGTAGCCTCGGTTTCGTCCACAAGTTCTGCATGGAGAAGTGGCTGAACATGCGTAATCAGGACACCTGTGAATTATGTCATTTTAAGTTTGTGACCAAGAGAAGGTTTAAGCCCTTTAATGAGGTTGGTTATTATTTTAATTTTGCATTATTGGAATTTTATCATTATCATCAGTTTTTTATGACTGATAGAAAATTCTCACTCGCTTTTAATTAGTGATTTTGACATACATCAGATAAGTAAAAACTAACGATATAAGGGGCCAAAAACGTTCGAAAACTTCCATGTAAAGGTCCATGGAGTGAAGAACGTGTTCCATTTGACATAAGTTCCATTCGTTTATAATCTAGTCTCCAAAATTCAAAATGATGGTACAGATATATATCGCCGTGAATAGCCTGGAAGTGGTAATTCCTTGTGAAAACTAGTAAATGGAACATGCTTTTTCACCGGAAGAATTTCGAACGGGAAAACAGGACTACTTTTTCAAAATTCAACTTATTCCCGGGAATTTTCCAGTGGAACATGTGTTCCATTAACATCCCAACCAGAATTTGTCGCGTCGTTTCGGCGATCTGGACAGGCGCTCTATCGAATCATGAGCTTTGAAAAGGCTCGCACGGGATGAATAAGAGCAAGGAAAGGTCATTTACAGCTGTAGCTCTATGTGTGAGGAGTGCACGTGCTTACTACTAGGAAAACAAAAATGCAGTAATAGAAAAGTTGGAACATGTGGGTAACATCTCTTCTTATATTAAATTTCAGCTTCAATTTGGAAATGTCTTCGGCATGCTAAGCGGCAGTGAAAAGGGCGTGCTTGTCCTGGGACTGATCAACCTTTTTCTCCTGCTACTAGAGATTCCATTTCTCTACTACGTCATCAAAATAACTACAATGAGGGACAAAAGTGTTGGCACACTTCCGTAAAATGGCCCCTTTTTGCATAGTGGATATACTTATCCCATTCCCCTGTCTACCCCAACCCCTTCCCCCCCAAAATCAATGTTGAATTTTGGAACTGTGTCTTCTGTCTGTCCGCCATCTTGGAAAATGGACACGTCAGAAGAATACGGTGAGATCGCGGGCTCATAGCGCAACCCACGACCACGGGACACAGACACGGACGAACTTTGGATGCTCATTGAGTCATGTCCTAGCCTGTTCCAGGCGTTCAGATAGTGGGGAGCGGTGCGAAGAAAAAAGGAGCGCGAAAAAAATAAAAGCGAGGGAGCGGGGGAGGTGAGAGAGGGTTCCCGCACCTCTCTCCCCAGTCCCCCTCTACTTTTCATCGCTATCTTTACTTCGCACCGCTCTTCACTATCTGAACGCTTGGAACAGGCTAGTCATGTCCTGTTTCGTTCGTGTGCAGACCCAAGGGCGGACCCTAAGTAAGATCCAGGGGCTGTTTCTTGGTCCATACAAATCCTTATATTTTGACATAAATCTCAAGAGCCTGGACTCTAGCCTTTGCGCTTGCATAAAAGCTCGAAACTCCGGCTCTTGATATGTGTAGAAAAATGGGGCCCAGTGTCCGTTTCAAAGTGACCGAAGTCACAGGTTACCAGATAACTTCGGGGGTGTCACACTATCAAGTAATGTAGCATGTTCCAGCTAAATTGCAGTAATTTGCGGATATTTAAAATCGTATATCAAATTAAAGCTTGTAAATAAACCAAAAAAATGCTTGAAAAAATGCACTGTCGAATTTTTAACGAGTTTTTTTAATGCGAAGGTGCGAATCACCTTCGAGGGCTAAACTGACAGCAATGTTTTTCATAGAGAGAGGATGATATAATTAGCGATGTAACCGACTGGGTAACGGGTAGTTTTCTTTTATTTCAGGTCTAGTAAATAGCTTTATAAGTTTTTCTTTTACTTGGCAAATAAATGAGAAATTTAATACTTATTTATGATTTTTATTTAGGCTGACTCTGACCACTCTGCATGAAGCGCTCCATGACTCAGCAGGACTAAGCTAAGACAATGGTCGAAGTGTTCTCAGTCCATTTTCTGTTATTGTCAAATGCGGATCGAAAAATTTTTAAAGAAATTTCTTTCGTTGCTAGTTGATACTCTTCTGTCATGTCGTTGTTCCTTGAGACTCCCTATCGTCCCTTTCGTCCTTCACTTTGTGCGCTTTTTTGCACTTGTCCACGGACAACAAACAAAACAAATAAAGAAGTTTCGTTGAGTCCGGCTAACTAAAAGAAAAACATTCCTGATTATTCATCCACCGACCATGGAAATTCCCGCGAAATTGGCGAAAAACACCATAGGGCTGTCAATCAAAAGAGTAACTTTTACTTCCAGCCGGTACTAGCGAAAAACCGTCATTTCTCCGCCAATATTCACTCTTTTCCATTTATCTGTATTTCTCATAAAGATCACACTAAAACTTTACTAAGAGACAAGAGTCAAAATTTTTTAACAAAATTTGTCATCTGAAGGTATCCCGTAACCTTAAAATTGGTGGGCACTGTTGAGCTATTCAAACAAAAACAATTGAAAAAATATAAAGAAAAGAAACTTGGAAACAAAGCAAAAAGCATTTTATTCAAATGGCTTTGACTGTGTCTTTACATAAAAAATCGTCAGGGGTGATAAGGTTTATTGTGTTTTAAATCTCAATATGAAGGATTTCAGTCGCTCTACCAGTATTCCGCAGTACAAAAAGCGTTCCGAACGTATCACGCGTACTTTGAATCGCGAGTCGTTTATCACGTTTTTTTTCGTTTATCGTTTTAAAACGTGAGGTCGCTGAGGTTGAAGACGGCGTGGTCATCATTGACTGTGTGGCAATTTTTTATGAAGAGGGCGAAGGAGGCGAACATTATGGCAACAAGAATAAGTTTAGATGTTGGGTTTCGAGAATTGAAAAACGCCTTGTAAAGTTAAAAGCGAAAATTTGGTAAGTTTGCCTCTTAATTCTTGATTGAATCTCGACGACGTGAGCCATGGCGGACGGACGTGAACCTTCTGGTCCCGTTTTGACGAAAGATACCGAGTCTTACCAGCTTAACCTTAAATGGTGCGAATTACAATCCCTTATGCTAAACGGGGAACGATTAACGTGGACGAATAACCTTGAATCGTTAAAGAATTTTGTGGAAAATGGCTTGAAACTACAAGGAAAGTGGTCGTCGCCCGGAGGAAACGTAAAGCAATTCAAAAGTTCTAACAATAATCTTGTCATCAACTGGTATAATAAGAAACAGCTAACCCTTTGTTTCCAAGGTCGAGATGGTCCCTCCTTAAAGGACAAGTTGGTCAAGTTTATTCAAAATAAACAGGGAACAGAAGCTGATACGCCTGTCTCGTATGCTTCAACAACCGAGCAAGAAATTCCGCCTTCGCAAGAAGCCAATGGCATCTGCAGTAATCGACTAGCTTCGGCCGCCGACGCCGAACTTGAGAACAGTATTCAAGAGCGATCGAACTCGGTTATCAGTGCTGATATTGAGGGCTTAAAACTGGATTTACTAATTCTTCAGAAAAAGGTTGAAGCAAATACAAGCCTTCTGTCGACGAAATGCAAATTACAAGAAACCGCTTTTAGCGCCGAGCTCCTCGATTACAAAGAGAGGTATGAGAAGGTGTTATCGACATTATCTAAAAAAGATAATGAAATTGAGGTGTTGGAGGAAAAGTGTTTTTCCTATGAGAGCCAAGTTTTGTCCTTGCAACAAGAAAATGATTCTCTTAAGCTGGCAATGAAGATCATTATGCAAGAAAGAAGCGAGGGCGAATGCCGCCAACAAAAGATATGTGATTGTTGGTCCCAAGTGGGCACACTTGGGAAAAGTGTGAATGATAAACATATCCAACGGCCGTTGGCGGCCTGCAATATAGTAACTCAGAACAGATTTGAGCCCCTTAGAAGTGAGGTACAATTCCAAGTGAGAAATGAGGACAACTATACTGCAAATAACGAAGAAAGTCGCCAACAACAGCAACAGCAACATTCACATGTTGATTCATCTGAAGCGA